AGCGAGCGTCATGCGTGCTTCAGTATTTGTGTAGTAAAATCAAAACCGTGTTTCCGCCATTTATACATACAGAGGCAAGCGGAACATGCAGGATTCATATTTAAACCGTCTTTTTGCATTTTAATATTCACAGACACTAGTTCATATCGCGATTCGAATTAAGTGGCAGACAGTGGCTACTTTTGATTTATTCATCCAAAAATTGACGAATTCCGCGCTATAGAGTAAATTACGTTTTTATGAATGGACTCCACGATCCCGTCCGCATTTTCGCAGAAACCGTATGGCCCTAGAAATGTAACCACACTTCACAGCATTTCGGCTTGCCCTGTGTGTTGTTTGTTGTCACAGGGTCTCTTTTTCTCTCTCTGTAGCCTATGCGCCCAGATGCGTTCTCAGGTACCGAAATTTGGCACCGATTGATTTAACGTGAATCAGTACTCGGTAGTACCGACGCAATTCGGTCGGTACCCTTAAAAGTACAGAGTTCGGTACCCAACCCTACCCTGTAGGGCCTGTGAGACCACCGAGAGATCCCAAGAGGGGATGAGGTGTGTTCTTGGAGGATTTAATCTCTGCGCACCTCTTAGGGTAATCTAATAGTAAGATTGTACTTTCATACCGATCTCCCATCCACAGTGTCGTGGTTTGCTACTATTGCAGCCACACTTTTAAGGTGGATGGAGACAGGTGCTTGTCCAGGCCCTCTTGGAGGAAGGAAAGCACTGATCCAATACCAAATCCCTGTGGGTCCCATCTGTCCCATCTGTGGCTTCTGTTGTTACTATGATGTGTCTAGACACCTGTTCAAGGGGAAAACCTGCCTGCAGAAACGTCAAAGGGTCTGTCTGTGCATGGTGGTCATGTGATATGTGCCGCGGTACCATGTTCATCTCGCGGCCGCGGCTGTGCATCGTGCTCACCCCAAGAACCAATCATCAAGCCACGAGCGCTCAGGGCAGGGTGGAGGAATCCACTCATGCTGGATGCTTTTGGCTGCCTGGGCAAGCATGGCTGCCATTTCCATGTCAGCCTCAGACTGAGCTGCTGCACCCGAAGTTGAGGGCTCAGCAGAGTCTTCAGCATCAGATGGCTCTAGTCCACTCTCCAATGCTGCAATTGACAGTTCATCCTCATTACGAGCCCCGAATTTAAAAATTAGCTTGCCCTGAGACGCCCTCTTAAACTTATCCAGAAACTCAACCGCAAGACATCTGTGAGTGGAGGAACGGGAGGTCCACAGGGATTCACCCAGTGGAAATTCTCCCCTTGCATCTCTGTGTAGAACGACCAGAATGGGAAGCATCTGAGGTGCCCCTCATGTAAAAAAAAGAATGAAAACCACAGATGCAACATGGGTAACCTCTTACAGGCAGAAAATGAGCCATCCACGAAAGCTGTTTCAGCATGGGTCTGACCGAAACACTGAAGATAGCAATCGTGGCCATCTGAGAGAGACATGAAATGACCACACCCAGAAGGACACGAACAGAAAGGCATATTGCAATACACACAATCTGCCATCACTGCTCTTTTAGAGAAATTTGCTCAGAGGAAATTAGTGCTCAAAAGTCGCAGTCGAAACACCCTGGTATCTCTCTATGCTTATATGTTTAAGAGGTAAGCAGAATCCACTGATTGTGTTGTATATCCAACAGCAAGAGGAAGATTGGCACTTTCCCAGAAAGACGCTGCATCAGCTCTGAAGAACAAACCTAGCATGCAGGTCCCTTATATACCTGGATGTCCAGGGCATGGCCACGCATGCAAATTTCACTTGCCAATTTCATTGGCCTTTTCTGAATATGTCAGAGGTGTTTGGGTTTCCAAGATTGACCCCTAGTGTCAGAACTCCGACACAGTGTCGAAAGTGACCAAAAGAAAGGGAACTGAAAATCAGTGGCTTCAAAATATCTTCTTTGTGTTCAACAGCAGAAAAAATCATACAGGTTTGGAACAACATTTGAGTGTGTACATAATGACAAAATTGTAATTTTTGGGGAACTATCCCTTTAAGCAATGTCACTGTGTTGTGATGAGGTTAATGTGATGAAGCCGAATTGATGAGTGGTGTCTTGAGGCACAGAGAAAGATAATTGAGTATACTAGAACAAATAATGGAAATGTTTTGATATGTCTCAAAGGAGGTGATCCATCTGTCTTGACATGGCTCAGGATTTCAAACCTGGTGATCTGATTTTTGCTAAAATGAAGGGTTATCCCCACTGGCCTGCAAGGGTGAGAAAACACTACTGAATGACCTTTTATTATTATGTTTATTATGTTTATTATTATTATTAATTCATTACACTCAAATGCTATTGTTAATATTTAGTGCTTTGCTATTTAGTGTTTATGTATGCTGCTGTTTCATTATTAATATATGCTACTATGCCATTTCAGATTGATGAGATTCCATATGGAGCTGTCAAACCATCAAATATAAAGTTTCCTATCTTCTTTTTTGGCACTCATGAAACGTAAGTAGAGATTTGTCAAAATCTTTACTTAAGTGATGAATTGTTGTGGAGCTTCAAATGGTCAAAATCGAAATGGAGGGTTAATTCAAGTCCTGATCCTGCAGTTGAGTTATGGTTAAATAGATGTGATAGTTATGCATTATATGCTTTCTGTTTAACATTTCAGAGCATTCTTGGGTTCAAAAGACATCTTTCCCTATTTGCCTAACAAAGACAAGTATGGCAAACCTAACAAAAGGAAGGGTTTTAATGAAGGCTTGTGGGAGATTGAAAACAACCCTAAAGTGGAGCTTAACGGACATAAGGTACTGTCGTCTTGCTGTGTTTTTTTGTTTGTTTTTTTTGGCATGGAGTGAAAGCCATGTCAAAACTTCCCACAAATGCAATAGACTCACATCTGTGCAGAGAAATGCACAAATGCATGCAAGAAATCCACATACATACTAGACATGTCAGAGTATGAAATTGTCATATCACGGTAATTGCTGATGCTTTTATCATGCCTCTTATGATGGTAATGCATTAACTAATATTAATAATGAGAAATAGGTGCATTTATTACAGGAGTTATTTTTTCATAACATCAGTTAAGAAATACAACTGATCATTGTTAGTTCACGTTAGATCAGTTCCAAACTAAACTTCCTCTCCGTATCAAATATTTTGTTGCACTTCTGTGAATATTTCTGTACATTTTCTGCTCATGGATGTTGCAGTCTTTCATCAAAGTCTTGAATGATCAGCTTAGCGGATATCTAGAGTTGAGAACAGTGGGGGTGAACTGTGAATTCATCTAGCTGTTCCATCCTTCCTTAATGGGTCATTTAGGCCTATCATATTCTGGCACAGGAGATGGTTACTCATTGATAAAAGTTTTCTTGATTTGAGATAGGTGAGTGTGATGAGGTTCAGAGAGTGGAAGGAAGAAGACAGGGTCAGGTTACTGAGACTTGTGCGTTTTGTAGCATCTGCTTAAAATCATGGATGATCATTGGGGTTTTAAGGCTTATAGACCCCTTTTAGCCTTTTGACATTTACATATAAATTACAGACATGGCCCCACATTCTACATTTATATGGGTGCTAAATTGCCAATGGTTCCCCCCACTATCAAGGAAATGCTAAACAGTTTCACCACTCTCGTCTCCCCATCGAACTTCAAACACATTCCAAAGAGACGTAAATGACCCCGGTGCCAGGCACCAATGCAATGCAACACAATACACATAACACACACACACACACACACACACACACACACA